GACTAAGTGAATTATTGCATTGGGTTGTAGTTGAGAACACATGTTCATAATTTATAATTATTAACAACAAACTGTACAGGAAGTGCAACTTCTGGTATTCCTTCCGCTAATGTAGCTGAAGACATCTTAGAAATGCCTCTCAGTGTGATGCAGCGAAAATCCAACACTTACAAGAAGAAAGCATTCTGTTCATTGAATACAGTGTCATTCAGAGATGAGTATTATGACATTTATTGACGCAGAATTACTGTGTTGTTACTTTTACATTACTGTGTAGGATCTCATTCTATTGTGCATGTGTACCTTATGTTCTGACCAAAGTTTGAATTGATATCATGGCATGTTGACAAAATCTCTTTCAACTGTTTTTATTTTATTGTCTGTGTTAGAGATGTGTTGGCTCTCTGTCTAAGAATTCCTCATTGGATGGACAACTTGGCCCAGAGCAACGAAGATCGTCTTTCTCAGCTTGAACCCCGTGAGTCATGCTCTCATTTTACATCCCGGCAATATGCGATGATTTCAAAAGTCTTGGTTTCATGGTCATGAGCAAACATGAGATTACTTAGCAACCGGTCACATTTTTTCGAATGTAACATATTACTTCGGTCATGCAGAAACCTGGCTCAGCACACCACCTCATCAAATGTCTGATGAAATGACGCACATGAAGCCAAATAACATAATGTGCTCCATACAGGTACTGTGACGCTTCATAGTTTTTTGTGTAAAAAAAAAAAAAAAAAAAATCCAATATAATCTCCAAATGACTAAATAAAAACCATGTGCTTGTGTGTGTTTTTCCCATATCAAAAAGTACATTTGTCATGAGTCATGAGAACTGAGTATCAATGTTGTTTTCATTTCATCTCATGAATGTTGTTCTTCATTTGTTTGTTTGCTTCTCCAGTTGACCTCCACCAATGGTGCAGTGTGTGTCATCAATCCGCTCTATCTTCATGAACACGGCGATGACTGGCTTTCCCATCAGGCGACTGGTTTGCAGTACGCCACACCGACGTCAAATTATAGACGAGAACGACGCCTCAGTTCCGCTCGAACGTGGGCCGGAGCGAGCCTGATGAGCAAACGAGCCATTTCCTTTGACCAGGAACCTTCATTTGCCAATACTGAATGCTCAGGTTGATTTTTTTTATTTTTTATTTTTTGGCCTGTTCTCCCAAAAGTCATATTCATTTGTTTGTGAGTTTGATGATATTTTGTCATTTTTTTTTAAATGTGATTTGTGGACAATGCAACTGGATGATCAGCTTTACGTGATAACCAAACAGCTGATTTATGTTAAAAAGCTACACATAGCTTGTTTGGAGCACAATCATTTTCTCCAGGAGTCCTTTTTGTGTGAATTGAAATAATGG